CGTCGCCCTCGCTGCTGATGTCGCTGCTGATCCCGCAGCCGACAACACTACTCCCACTCCCTCTTCCGCCTCTCCCTTCCTACCGCCACCCTCTGCAGACAAGGCGCCCAACAACGTGCCTGATTCTGTTCCTGATTCTGATTACGTGCCCCGTGGTGATGCCAATGCCAGGGACACTCCAGACCAAGCCGATACCCTCCCCATCGGCGCTGCTCTTGGCCCTGCCTCTACTTCCAGTAATAAGAAGGCCCGTGGCCCCGGTCCCCTACCGAGGCAGACCGGTCCTTCCCTGCTGACCCAAGCCTTGGCTTCCGCGAGAGGTATCACCAATGTCAAATCTCCCAAATCCTTCTCTCCTACATCTACTCCTCCTATAACTTCGCCCTCTCCTGCAACTCTTACAAATACATCTACTGCCGCTCGACAGTCTAACCTAGACAAGACCGTCCCATCCTCTGCGACTATCTCGACTCCTACTACTCCCACTGCGCAGTCGAGTCTTCACTCGTTGACAGGGCCACCAACCGCACCAGCGAACCTCGCCTCCCACTACGATCGCGATAGCGCCTCAAACCCCTTCGAATCTTCTTATCACAATGTTCCAGCTCAGCGCACCGCTCCTAGGCCGTTAGCTAGAGCCACTTCCGAAACTATCAATATGGGAGCGTCTACTACTGTTACAACGATGACGTCGCTTGTCCCTCGGGAGGCGGCGAGCGTCCCATCGACTTTTAGCCATTCAACTCTTGCTACTACACTTCGAGGTGCTCTTGATCAACGTGAACCGATTGACATGGCCCGTGGCAAGGCCTCGACATCTCTGGATCTCGATAGACAATCTGTTGACTATTACCAACCTCAAACTACAAGCTACACAGCAGCCCTTATTGACCGACCCGTCCCCCTCGATACTCGCTCAGAAACCAAGACACCACCTTTGGCGACGCGAAAGGAGGATGCGAAACCCGTTCAACAGAGGCCGATACAATGGGCAAAGATGCCGCCCCATTGGACTGGCAATGGCGCTGAAAAAACCGAAAAGATATGGTCCATTGGTTCTGTGGAAGGACAAGAAGAGGATGGCTTAGTTGAGAAGTCTGTGACTGAGGCAATGGCTGGCTTGGAGCATAATGCTCGTAGCCGCAAGTCTAGCTACAGCCTACGATTCTTCAAAGAAGGTCTGCCACCAGAGGATAAGCCACGTCGCAAGGATACAAAACAAACAGCGAAAGAAAAATTGACCCCTCTCGAGGAGGATCATCAACATGCCTTGCGCGAAGCCTCCCAACCGACAACCTCTGACAAAGAGCCGACAGCCATTCGCACTCGCCAGGAAGACCGAAAAGGTTCTTTTTTCACATCAGATTCGGTCGATGAACAGCCTGTTCTGAGCACATCTCCTAGCGAGGATTATTTTTCCATTCCAGTCAATGGCTCCATCAAATCTGAAGACAAGGCGCCGTTGCGAGTGCAGCAGCCACTGTCCCAGGCCAAAGACGGAAACGAACAGGTGGAGTCGGCCCAAGTTGTGGGGCCGATCCCGGTCTCCAATGCCGAGGCCGCCCGTGAAGCCGAATTTGTGGAGTCCAGACGGGACTCGGCGGACAGTGCTCATACTGATGTCGGATCTCGCGATGATGGAGAAGCCGAAGAATCTGGGGAAGAAAAGATCTCATCTGCCGTCTTTTTGCCCCACCAAGAGCTCCAAGATCCTTGTGTAAGTGAACCACAGGACCGCATTGCGGCCCGTAGTATCCGCGTGCGGTCTTTATCGCAAAGTAATCAACGCCCGTGGCTTGTGAAGGCCGATGAGCCAGAGTCAGAAGCCAGTCATGAGAAGGATGAACCTCCTTATGGAATTTCCCGTCACCCTTCTCGTGAGAAGCTTACCTTGAAACGCGGTGACCTCATCCCTCAACAAGGTGAAGAGGGTGCCGTTATTGAGGAGGAAATCACAGTGACAACTGACTCTCATAAACAACCGCAAATCGTGAGCCAGTATGAAGACCATGTCCATGATCATCAGCATGACCCTCAAGAGCCTCTGGAGGCGATCGAGCTCATTCCGTATAAACATCAAGTTGGTGGACACACCACCCTCTGGAGATTCTCTCGAAGGGCTGTCTGTAAGCAACTCAACAATAGGGAAAATGAGTTTTACGAGACTATAGAGAGATACCACCGTGATCTGTTGCCTTTCCTTCCTCGGTACGTCTGATCGAATTGTGTTTTGCGACCCTTTGCGTCTGTATTATTGAGATCGTGCTGAAATGCTAATTTTGACAGCTATATCGGTGTATTGAATGTCACCTTCCAGAAACAGGCTCGCCGAAAGAGCACGTCCAAGAAAGATGAGGCGGCAGCAGCCGAGCGCAAGAAGGCACAGGAAAAGCTTGAGTCTAGTAGAAACGAACTGGAACAGAACGAGGGTCAGGAAGCCATTAAAGTTGAGAAACCGACAGGCCGAGTTGTTAGCCAGTCTCTCGCCAATAGCAACATCCCTGTTCCGACGGTAACTTTCGACGACAACAGGCACATTCTGCCTCGAAACCTTCTCCAGCCGATGCCTTTGCCGAGAGAATACCGACGACAAAGTATCTCAACTTCCACTGTATCAAATCCCTCCGTGCCATCTTCTGGAACATCGAGTAGACCGCCTCTGGATGAGCGACCCAACAGTTGGGGCGCAACCATGGTCAACAAGAGGTTGAGAAACGAGGTTTTCAACGACGCATTCCTGAAGGAACCTGTCAAGATTCATCGACATCGCCGACCACACCAACGATCAATTCCACGTCCTACTTTGCAACGTCTCCTACGATCCACAAATTCGGACCCTGCTTTGATCAAAAGTAACTCCCCATTCATCAACGGTCACGATGAAGCAAACGGCTATCCTCAGGAACGAAAGATTGCGCATCACTACTCACACAGTGATCTCGGACCTGGCATGGATGAATACGTTCAGTCTGAGCCTGAGCAGGCTCCCGAAGAAGTTAAGGATGTGACTGGAACAAGCGCTCCAGAGCCGGAAACTCTGAAGGAAAACCCTCTCGCAGCGAAGAAGAAGCGCAGGTATTCTGCTGGCGGTCTTCGACGGAAACCTGAGGATGTTAGAGAATCCAGGGGAGACTTGAAGTACTTTGAGGAGGCTGATGATGCTGGGTATAAGGGAGACAACGAAGATAAGCCCAAGCGACACTCAAAGACACATTCTACGAATGGACACCATCATCCTGACGCAAATGATGCCCACCATCACTCACAGTACCTAGAGCATCTACATCCTGAAGACGAGTTTGCCATTGAATCGACTGAGCCCACCCCGGCCATGGAAGAGACTGCCCATGAGTTCACCAAGATTCCTAGGCCAGTCAACCCGAAAGAGGCAAAGACTCAAAAGGATCGAGTCGAATACTTCTTGCTCCTAGAGGACCTTACCTCAGGGATGAAGAGACCTTGTATGATGGATTTGAAGATGGGAACTCGACAATATGGCGTGGAGGCTACTCCAAAGAAGCAAAAGTCGCAAACTGAAAAGTGTCGAAACACAACATCAGCTGAGCTAGGTGTTCGAATTTGCGGATTGCAAGTGTGGAACGCTGCGAAGGAAACATATGACTTTCAGGATAAATACTATGGCCGCAAACTGAAAGCTGGAGACGAGTTCCAAGGCGCATTGCAAAAGTTTCTATACAACGGTGTCGATCTGCATAGTATTCTGCGACATATTCCAGTTGTGCTCAAGAAGCTTGGGCAACTCGAACAAATTGTGAGCAAGCTGAACGGTTACCGTTTTTACGCTGCGAGCTTGCTCATGTTTTACGACGGCGATACGTCCGAGGATGCGGACAACGAAACGATGTACGAGTCTACCACCGACTGTGCAACAGATACAGAGGAGACCTCGCGAAAGAAGACGAAGGACAAGAGGGAGATTGATTTCAAGATTGCGGATTTCGCCAACAGTGTCACTCCCTTTGATAAGATTGACGACAAGCCTTGCCCTCCGCAACACCCTGATCAACCTGACGGTGGATTTCTCAAAGGCTTACGTAGTCTGAGGAGATATTTCCTCCAGATTCAAAGGGACGTGAGACAGGAGCTGGGGCTTGATCCTTATGGTCGATTCTCGCATCACACGGATTATGCCGGAGATCTTGATGCCGAGAACGGGATGGTCAGTCTTTAGATGACCTTAGATAAGGACGGTGGTGTACGTTTGAGACGAAGTGTCTGATACCCATTACTTCATTTCAATTTGGACGGTTTTACAAATGGATTTTTGCTTTTGCTGGAGTTTGGTTTGTTTTTCTTGGCCCTTTTCTCTTTCATGGCCAACTTCTCTCCCACGGAGGGACCCTGGAGTTCACAGGAATTATCACCATGGCGGTATGGAACTGGAACAAAACCCAAAGGGTAGAAGGAACAGGACTTATGTCTTATGACATGTTGAATTCAACTCAAAACATACCCTGCATCGGTTATGGCGCAACAGCAAACAGGAAAGGGGGGGGCCGGAGCTGGAGTTTGAAAAGCCCGTTTTTATTGTCAACTCTTTGCTTCACTTGGGCTGGAAGCGAGTGATGGATTGAGGGGGAAGGAAAGGCAGCGGCTCTGGCTTCGCTGCGGGAAGTGCTTTTTTCTGGAAATTTCTTGATGTGCAGTTCGTCGGTGTTGGGGATGGGGAACGAAAACCAGAATGATGATGGTGTTTTTTGTTTAGCGATCTGCTTGTACCTTGACGGCAGTGAAACGGGCATATCCTGGTGGTTTAGGCAAGGTAGCTCTTAGACGTTAGAGAAAATGCAAGCTAAAAGGTCGTTGGTTCATACTCCGTATACTGAGGTCTGATGGTTTGGTCTCGTATCTAAGTGAACACAATATCTGCAAGACTAGCTTAGCGTCGCAACTGGTTCCTGCGAGATAACTGTTAGCTAACAACAACCCTGTCCAACCTATCATTTGTGGTTGGATGCATCGTAAAATGCTACTATACATGCCGATTGTTCCTGTGTGACAACTACATATTCTCTCCATCATAACCCAGCATGTTCACTTGACCATAAAGCTCACCGATAAACATGGGTTCCGTCATATCGACGCTTAAATCAACGGCATCGGCCATATCATATGGCTTGAAGACTGTTCTGACGCTTCACAAGCAATTCTCGTCTCTTCTTGAACGCGCGTCCTCAGAACCAGGATTTCCTGTGCCAGAGCCCACAAAGTCATACTGGCTCGACGACCCGCCATTCCCAGCACTATGCGACATCCAAGCTGACAAGCTTCCCTCAGAAGTAGACATCGTCATTATCGGCAGCGGCATCACAGGCGCAGCCGTAACAAAATCCCTGCTAGAACTCTCCGACTCCAATCTACGAGTTGTAGTCTGTGAAGCAAGACAGCTATGTAGCGGTGCAACGGGTAGAAATGGCGGACATATTAAAAGTGCACCATATGATGAATTTGCCATGTTCAAGTCAAAGCTGGGACCGGAAGATGCGAGGAGGATAGTGAGGTTTAAGAGAAGGCATTTAGAGATCATAAAGCAGCTAGGGAAGGGCATTGAGGTGGCTGAGGTCAGAGAGGTCGAGACGGTGGATGTTTTTGTTGAGAGGGAGGATTTTGAGAAGGCGAAGACGCAGGTTGAAGATGTTAGGGAGTGGATGCCTGAGGAAAAGCATCGGGTTTGGGAGGCGGAGGAGGCGAGAAAGGAGGTGAGTTTCCACGTCTTAGGTGACAACTGAGGCACTAATGAGGACAGTTTGGTATGAATGAGCTTGTTGTGGGAGCTGTAACTTATACGGCTGGTGCACTCTGGCCATATCGTCTTGTCACGAGTGTTTGGAACGGTTTACTCGAGCGGTTCTCGGGGTTGAGCATCAACACTCATACACCCGTTGAGAAGGTATCTCATAACTCAGATGGCTCTTATACAGTTACGACACCGCGTGGAGTCATCAAGGCGAAGCATGTTATTCACACAACGAATGCTCATGCCGCACAACTTCTCCCTCCAGTAAGGGGCTGTGTCGTCGGTGCCATCGCACACATGAGCGCTCAACGACCAGGATCTTCATTCCCCCCAACCCACGGAAACCGCTCATGGTCTGTAATCTACAGCCCAGGCTTCGATTACATCACCCAACGCCCAGATCGGCCAGATGGAACAGCCGGTGATCTTATGATAGGAGGAGGCTTCTTCCGCAGCCGCGAAGACGGTCTCGACCAAGTCGGAATCTGGGACGATAGTAAGAACCACGCCCTTCCCCTGATGCACATCCGCGGCGTGATGCCCTCCATCTACGAACCAAACTGGGGCTCCGGAAGCAGTCTTATAAAAGCCTGGACGGGAATCATCGGCTTCACAGGTGATTTGATGCCTCTTGTGGGACGAGCCCCTGGGTCGAAAGGATCAGGGGAGTGGATGGCTGCTGGGTTCTGTGGCGAGGGGATGGTATATGCCTGGCTTTGTGGGACGGCTTTGGCGGTTATGGTGCTTGGTAAGGAGGGGGAGAAGCTGGGAGAGGGTGTTGGGAGGCCGGGGGGACGGTTGGAGGAGTGGTTTCCGGGGGATCTGCTGGGGGTTGATAAGGAGAGGTTGAGGAGGGCTTATATTGCTAATGCGGCGGAGTTTTTCGAGTAGTTGACTTCAGTGTTGCAGTGAAGCAATGAGATATGGATGGTTTACTGGTTTAGCTGAGAGATTATGGTCTATGATGGGGGATGTTGGGGAGTGAAGCGTTGACGGCTGTCTGCCAGTGCAAGCTAAGGCTTCATGCATCACCACTTTCATCTCACGTGTAATCGGTATAATTCCACTTCTTATCAGCGCACTTCTTCCTTGATTCATTCGGTCTCTTTCTTTCGTTTCTTTCTCTTCACCTTCACACTCACCTTTTTCCAAGCGTTGCAACTCTGCCCTTTTTGGCGACCAAACCTTAGCAACCCCATTCCTCTTCATTCCAATGTCACTCCTCAACATGATGCCCGAAGAACGGATTGAATCGTGGCGTCAACGCGTTCCAAGCCGTATGGATCGCGACGATCCCTTCGAAGGAGACTACTTCGACGAACGTCCCCCCACACGCCTCGTATATCTCCCCTGACAGCCTTCCTCTCTGCAACACTAACCATGTCGCAGACCTTTCGCAGTGTTTATCCCCCTGAAGTTCGACCTCCTACGCGCCTGGGCTTCTTCCGCGCTGCTACGCCTCTCTTTGGGCGTAGTTCAACACCATCTTCTCCTCGACCTGCTTCAAGCATGATGCAACGACGTGCGGAGGGGAAGCGAAGGAGTTTGCTGAGCTTGCTTGGTCGCAAGAGGAAGAGAAAGGAGCCGGAGGAGATCCCGCAAGATCCTGTTCGTCTGAACTTTTTGTTTGTTGGGAGTAAAGCCGCTGGTCAGACATCGTTGCTATTGTGAGTTTCCCAAAAACTGGTGTTGGCATATGTGCTAAAATTGAACAGTCGATCTCGCTATGGTTACTTTCCTGATGTGAGTTCAGCATCGACACGAGTGATTTTATGCTGACATTCAACAGTCAAATGCCTTTTCTCGTCCTCTATATGAGACCTACGTCAACGAGCGTATCTACCACAACCAGCCTATTCGCATGGAGCTGTAGGACACCTCTGGCGTACCAGACCTGAACGTTGTTGAAAAGTTGACCTACATCGAATGGGACGCCGTGTTTCTCTGTTTCGACATCTCGGATAAGATATCCATGTACACAATCATCCAATGGGTAAGCTAAGCATTCCACCGTTTGCGAAACAAAACTAACTAAGTAGTGGCATCACGCCTCGAACCAAGGCTTCACCAAATCTGCTAGTTTTGAACCATTGCTGTACCTCGTCGGCTTGAAGAAGGATCTTCGCGACCAGTGCTTTTTGGAAGATCATCAAACTGGCTCTGCGTTCTCATCTTCTGGACTGTTGGCGTATCCGACCTGCTGCATTTGCTCTTCAGAGGTGAGTTCTCAAACGTGCTTGAGGATTCGAGTGTGGTTCCTGACTTTTGTAGGCGAACTGGCAGGCTACTCGAATTGGAGCACACAAATACATCGAATGCTCGGCTGCGACTGGCGAAGGGATGAAGGAGGTCATCGATGACTCTGGAAGAGAGGCGATGAGAAGACTTGTTGGAGGGCAAGTGCCTGAGGGGGAGGTTGTTCCCAAGAAGAAAATTCGTTTCTTCTGAAGTGTCTGAATACTGGGACGTGGTTTAACTGTCAAGTGACATTAGAACTCTTGCTTGTTGATTGCTGAATGAGGCTTGCATTGAGGGAGGCGTTATAGTGTGAAACGCATATTTGGACTCATGGGAATTTAGGCTGGAATTTAGAAGAAACAGTTCCCAAAGTTTCTGTCACAGATACGCTTTGAGAGAACAATGGCCTGTATGATGATGAAGGGATGTAGTTCAAGGATATCGAAACCTCAATGGCTGATCCAGGGTAGTTAAATTCATTGGTGTAAGCCGTTCAATAAGTTCATGAGCCCAGTCTTTATAGCAGTAACAGTAATAGATTTAATTCTAAAATCATATAAAAATGTGCATGGTTGATATTGGACTCAACATGGTTATTTTTGTTTGGGGCGACTGTATGCACTTCGAAGAATACGCACCTCAGTGTTGTGAGCTTGACTTCCAGCGAAATGAATAGTCGGGTCTTTGCTGCCAGTGCCAGACCTCCACTTTCAACTTCCTCGCTTCGAAAGGTGCAGGTGAATACCTGTACAACATACTGGAAAATAACACAAAGTCCTCATTGAATCACTTCCTCGACTCAAGGTGGATATAATTCTTTCGCTTTTTGACACATTTTGTTTAGGTCTCTTGATTCGATCACCAAATGGTTTGGACTCAGAGCGTGAAAATAAAAGGTCCACCTGTCAAGATCAACCTCAACCTCACTCACTTTACAGCACGAGCACGGGTGCATTGATCTACCATCAAGAGTGCTCGACGCAAACATGGTGATGGTGATCGCCGCCGCAGGCGTAGGGCTTGCGATAGGCGCCCTTGCCTCGCGCCGACCGCTCGTGGCCTTTCTCACCACTATGTTCCTCTACATCGTTACCCTGCTCATTGTATTCACTGTAAGTCAAATCTCACAACCGAAACCGAATCTTACACTCCAATACTGACAGAATCAAGGCTCTTCATATCCGAGTCGTCAGGCGTCGCCGCAGAACAGTAAACAGAGAACTGTCTTCTCTCAATCAACGTCGCACCCCGTATGATTACCGTGTCTTCGTCCTCGGCTCCGGAGGTCACACCAAGGAGATGCTCATGATGATGGACGATGGCTTCAACAACTTTGATGGTTTTCACCGACGATATTTGATTTCTTCTGGTGATACCATGTCGGAGGATCATCTTGAAGATTACGAAGCAGACCTGAAGACACTGTGTGCTGCTGAGGGCACCAACCCAGGAGCATACGACGTTTTCACCGTCACTCGTGCGCGCCGTGTTCACCAATCACTTCTGACTACTCCATACACAGCCTTTCTCAGCATGGTCAGCATATTCCCGGCTCTGTTGACTCCGCCACCCAAAATCGATGGTGTCGAGCTCGTGTATCCTACTTGTATCTACTCCAACGGACCCGCGACTGGCTTCTTTGTCGGCCTGGCCGTGCACCTTCTCAAGATCTTGGGCAAGATACCCGAGAACTCGATGCACTTCATCTACATCGAGTCCTGGGCACGTATCAGCACCTTGAGCCTCACAGGCAAGCTCCTCTACTACACCGGCATTGCGGACGTTTTGGTACAGCACAAAGAAGTTGCTGAAAAGTATGGACTCAAGAACTGTGGAGAGATGGTCTTCAACGCTCGACGACCTGATGTTTCATCGACAGATGATAAGATGATGGGATGAGATCCCAATCCAAGTATCTCTTGGAATATGCGTTTCTGCTTTTTGATACATAGACAATAAAGGTTACATAGTTTGTGTACATGACGGGTATCATCCGCCCTCCTTGATATTATTATATCAAGGTGATTTCTTGCCCTCAGCAGCCTCGGCCTTTCCCTCAGGCTCTGCATCTTCTGCGACATCCTCCTCCACGTCCTCAAGACCAAAGTCCTCAATCTCCGAGTTGCGACTCGCCTCTTGCCGCTCCGTCTCCTTTCCAGCCCAGATCTTCCAGTTCTCGAATTCTCGGTCCTCGAGAGTGTGCGAAACATCAATGCGGGACTTGCCAAAGTAAGCACCTACGTGCTTGGCTTCCTCGAGGGCTACTCGCCTCTCGATCTCTTCCTCTTGACGTAGACGGTAGAATTCGCGGCGTGTGATATCGTATGCCTTTTGCATTCCGAGCTTCTCGTTCTTCATCAACCACAATTGTCGTTGAACAACACTATAAAATGTTAGCTTAATCCCATCAGACCACCGATCCAGAGAAACTTGCCATTCACCCGTTAAGGGGATATTAGGCTGTCTCAAACCCTTGCTCCAATCGCAGTGCTGGTAGTCCTTTCCGTCCGACTCAAGAATAACACGAGGTCTCGCCAACTCCCAGGGATGATCTTTATAGAACGTTTTTCGCAGCTTATCCTCAACATAAAATATCTTTTGAGGTCGGTACATGTTCTTTGGCTTGGTAGCTTTTTGGTTGGGCGCTCTGTGTTGGGGGGTGACGGTTCGAACGAGTGTCTCGGCGGGAGGGACGGATTGCATGATGTTATACCATGGCGGCGTGGGGATGGATTTGCCGCCGAGGACGTTGTGGTTGAGCTCTTCCGTGACTGTTTGTAGGACCCTTGCGGGTCGGATCTGTCTGCCTCCCATGGTCTATTCTACGACGGGGTTAGCAGAGCTTCAATTGAGTATGACGATATAAATAGAGGCGGCCTTACGGTATCAATTGACGCTCTGATTGGGAGTAATGTCACACGGGACCTGGCTTGAGCCTCAATGTCGTGGTGGTGAGTGGAAATTTTGGAGATGCATCGGTAAATCTTAACGCCGGCGTGGGATGTTGACAATAAAGGTCAGACACTGAATTCAGCATAGAACCACAAGTATATACTCAAATATTACTTTTCAGACAGAACATTCAACATTGTATGCGTCAATCGATAACAAACTAAGATGTGATACTATACAAGATTAATTTTTTATTTTAGGCATTGAAGAAGTCTCTCACCTTTCTTTGCCTTATCTCTTCCATTTTGTATGATGCAGTGCGTGCGGCTTTTATTTTCACCCACCATCTGGGGTATCTCCCCATAGCTCGGCGCGAATGACAGTGTAGCAAAAAACCATCTCGAAAAAAGGTCCCACTTACAAGAACCTACAAGCCTCCCATCTCAACTTCCGTTGGCATTAGCTCTTCCTGAGAGAGATTGCCGATCTGATTTCTTTCTCAGCGCCATTTTTCTTGTCTAGGCTCCTTTATACAACATCCGAGACAAAATATCGCTCCGGCTACGAATCAGAAGTCGCAGCACCATGAGGAGGAGCTCATGAAAGTCTCTAGTCGATTAGACGGCTCCCTCTGTGCGGTGCTTTCGAACCGACCGTCGGCCAGTTTTGGGGTTACTACCACAAGGAGGAGTCTCTGCACTGTGAGAGAGGCTGGAACAGAGACACAGAGAAAAAGATTGAACTCGAGATCCCCGCCCTCTTGTTCGAAAAGCTCGTCATGGCTTCTCTCGACCTTTTCGCCCGCCACCGAGGCTCGACGTGCCTTGCCTTGCCGTCGCTCCCGACATGTTTTGAATCATTATAGCACCGCTTCCGCCGCCGCCGCACCGATACCTCCGATACATCAGAGATTCCATACTCAGTATGGTCACGACCCTCGACACCTCATGGCTCTTGTGCCACAGGAAGATGCGGGAACGGTTGAAGAGCACTTGGAGTACTATCGGGATCCTTACCGAAGAGGATATGCCCACGCAGATGGTCAGAGAGTACAAGTGTCGGAAAACAAAAGGGATGTTGAATATCCTACGGCGGATGAAACCTTCAAGACCGATGACGAGACGAAAAAGTTGATCGCAAAATTATGCCATGCCATATCGTACAAGCTCCGCCACCCATACCGAGCAACCCTCGAACCTATATACGACTTGTACCTTCAGCTTCCAGAACCAAGGATGTTGTATCTCACCTGGCCATGGCGGAATAGGTTATTGAAGATTATGGGTTTGCCTCCAAAGCGAAACTCAGAATCGATGCTGCGCTACTTTGCGCTGATCGCTGATGTCAAAACCGCAGGATTGACGCTGCGACGGACGCATTGGAACTATGCTTTGGCTTTTGCAACAAAATATACAGCTCGCGTGACGCCAACCGAGATGGATACTGCTCTGAGGTTGTGGCAAGAGATGGAGCGATCACCCAATGTCAAAGGAAACGAAGTTACGTTTAACATTCTTTTCGATGTTGCCTCAAAAACCGGAAATTTTGCTCTTGCGGACATGATTTACAAGGAGATGGAATGCCGAGGTTATGAGTACAACCGATACCATCATGTCAGTCTGATACACTATTTTGGACTCAAGATGGACTCGAATGGAATTCGAGCTGCCTACAAAGAAATGGTTGAGGCTGGTGAAATGATTGACACTGTTGTGCTCAATTGTGTAATATCGGGCCTGTTGCGATGTGGTGAGGAGTCAGCGGCTGAATTGACATATGAGAGGATGAAGTCTGGCCACGAAATGGCGCCCAATATCCCGGATAGGGACTACGGGATGGGTCGGGTCATTACGAAGGTGTTGATGATGTTTACGAGAATTGGCAAAAAGCACCCCGAGCTTCAAAAGCCGTTGCAGAAGCAAATGCAGCTCTCGCCAAACCTTCATACATACAAGCTTTTCGTCGAGCACTACTCGGTCAAAGTTGGAGACTTGGCCAAGGTGGCACAGTTTCTTGATGAGATGAAGTTTCTCAAGATTCCCATTCACGCCACGATCTTCTTGTCCTTATTCAAAGGATTCTACTCCCATGGCGGCTTTACTGGCTCTGAATGGAGTGAGCAGCGACTCGAGGGGGTGTTGAAGGCAATGTACCAAGCAAGAGACGAAAGCATAAGAGGGTTTACCATCGATAGATGGTTGGTCATCTGGGCCTTGCGAGCTGCCAAGAAGTGCAGCTCAAACGAGACCGTTATCGAAGTTTACGATGAGATGGAGAAGCGCTGGGATATTCCGGTGGACCGACAGCCGTTCATCGAGTCCATACTTCAGACCATTCTTGACGGCGCAGACATGAAGTCGTCGACGGGTCAATGGGAAGGCCCGTCGTATCGAAGATACAAAAAAGATGGAACGAGATTATGATGTAACAGTAGATTTTGTACCACCATGTACTTTAACTTAGAATAATACCCCGGGGCTCTAGAGTTCTGTATATAAAGATCCGGTAGGCTGGGAATTGCATAGCTAGCGATTATCATAATCGCAATATCACGTATGGTTCGATATAGCTGATTGTCGAACAAATGAAATTTCGAATCAAGAGTCGAGAATGACTGATGTCTATTTCGGTTATTTACACCACATTCCACCTCCAGGCTTCCCAGTCTTTCAACCAAACAGCAAATCCAATCCGCAGGCGAATAATTTACTGGGGCTTGTAGGTCTGGTAGACTGCGCAGCTCGTTAGCATCTCGAACCGGAGAACATCGGGATGGAAACCACGCACCAGCAATGCCGAAGGGAGCGAAGAAGCCGGTGGCCATGAAGGTCCAGTATCCGAGGCCGAACCACTTGCTTCGGGGGTTGAAGGGGATGTTGCTGTAGGCGCCCTCGGGGTAGTGGTAGGGCGAGGACATGCGGGCGCGGGTGGTCTGGAAACCTCGCTTGGTGACCAGAGAGGTCGTGGTACGGGCGGCGGCGCGGGAGAGCATCTGCAGCGGCGAGTAAAGGGTCAATTCGGTTCGCGATGGTTGGGAGAGTAGTTGTGAGCTGGTCAATGGCTCGGAGGTCGACGTACCTTGACGTTGAGGAGTGGAGATTGCGAGATGGAAGCTTGGGGATGTGTCAGTGATGATAGCATCCGAGGTCAGAGATGGTGGTCTGAGGTTTGGAGAGCAAAACGCTAGCAGGTCACGTGTGGAGATACTTTGTACTTTGCTGACATGGAATCTCCAATCGGCTGTGATTGGATCGTAAGTTTGGAGACGTGACGTCGGCTCTAACCGTAGCGGACTCGGCAGGTAAAGGATATTCCTAACTGTGAGCATTTCTTTAAAATATTATATGACCTGTCTGCCTAATTTACAAGAAGACATACTATAACATCACTGAGATAATACAACATTTTGATAAACATCCCATCTTTGCTTATAAAAATACAAATTTGGCTCAGTTTCTGTCGACTTAACTCACCTATTCCCGGTCCATGCTGTAGACATTCACCGCCCTCAGCTCGTCCAGGGGGATTTTTTTTCTGCCGCAACCAACCCACTTCCCATCAACCAACTTTTTTTTAATCGCCTAGGCCCGTGTACCACGAATTGGGACGATCGATCGATCCCTCGCTCGTGTTGTACTGGACGACAAGCTCACGCCTGTTTTTTCGACGAGCTTTTTTGCCTTGCGTACACGAAAAGGCAACATTCCAATTTTCATTTAACCAAATTTTTCCACGAAGGACTAGAACGCGACTCGAATCAGCCACCCGATCTCGATCACTTTTTCTTGCAGGCAGCGATCGGAAGCCGATCGCGGTAAAACACCGCCCAGCATGGATGAGATGTTTGATGTGTTCGAGGGCAAGGTGGACGCCCCGAGCGCGAGCGAAGATGAGAATGTGCCGAGTCGCAAGGGTGACACGAAAAAGAGAAAGGCAAACGCGATAAATGGCGAGAACGGCAATGCTGCGAAAACTGAGGATGTTGATATGGACGCCAAGACCGAGTCGTCAAAGGACGGAGACTCTTCTGACGATGAAGAATCTTCGGAGAGCGCTAGCCAACAGGAGTCCAAGCGAAGGAAGAAGGAGGATGGTGTTGGTCCTGTCATGACAGATACTTTCCAGACGGCCGAGTCGAGAGAAGTTGCTGGCGCAGCTACTTTCACAGAGCAGGACTCATCGCTTGTTTTGTCGCACAACATTCAGCATCAGGTTGCCCTGCCTCCGGATCTAGACTACGAATACGTTCCCCTCTCCGAGCACAAGGCCCCCGAGCAACCCGCGCGAACATGGAACTTTAAGCTCGATCCTTTCCAGAGTCTTTCCGTGGCGTCTATTGAGAGAGAGGAGAGTGTTCTTGTTTCCGCACACACTTCTGCGGGAAAGACTGTTGTGGCTGAGTATGCTGTCGCGCAGTGTTTGAAGCGCAACCAAAGAGTCATCTATACAAGTCCCATCAAGGCTCTAAGTAACCAAAAGTACCGAGATTTCGAGGCCATCTTTGGAGATGTTGGTCTCATGACTGGTGATGTTACTATCAACCCCACAGCTAGTTGTCTGGTCATGACGACTGAGATTTTGCGATCTATGTTGTATCGCGGTTCCGAGATTATGCGAGAAGTCGCTTGGGTTGTCTTTGATGAGATTCATTACATGAGAGACAAGATAAGAGGTGTTGTTTGGGAAGAGACCATCATCATGCTTCCCGACAAGGTCCGATATGTCTTCCTCTCTGCCACCATTCCCAACGCTTTCCAATTCGCCGAATGGATTGCCAAGATCCATCATCAAGCTTGTCACGTCGTGTATACCGATTTCCGACCTACTCCTCTACAGAACTACTTCTTCCCCTCAGGTGGTACTGGCGCTCGTCTCATCGTTGATGAGAAGAGCAACTTCAATGAGCAGAATTTCAACAAGGTCATGCAAGAGGTTGAGGAAAAGAAGGGCGCTGACCCCAATGATCCTAATGCTCGTCAGAAAGGAAAGGGCAAGAACAAGAAGACCAACAAGGGTGGCGCTGACAGTGGCTCGGATATCTCCAAGATTATTCGAATGACTATCAAGAAGAAGTTCAACCCCGTTATTGTTTTCAACTTTAGCAAGCGAGAGTGTGAGAACCTGGCCATGAACATTTCGTCGCTCAGCTTCAACGACGATTCCGAGAAGGCCATGGTTCGCAAGGTTTTCAACAGTGCTATTGAGAGTTTGTCAGAGGGAGATCGAGAGCTTCCTCAGATTATTAACTTGCTACCTCTTTTGGAGCGAGGTATTGGCGTCCATCACTCTGGTCTTCTGCCCATTCTCAAGGAAACTATTGAGATTCTCTTCCAGGAGTCTCTCATCAAGGTTCTCTTCGCGACTGAAACCTTCTCCATTGGTCTCAACATGCCCGCCAAGACCGTTGTTTTCACCCAAGTCACCAAGTGGGATGGTGTCAAGAGACGCCCTCTCACTTCATCCGAGTACATTCAGATGGCTGGACGTGCTGGTCGTCGTGGTCTTGATGCTCGAGGTATTGTCATCATGATGATTGACGACAAGCTCGAGCCTGATACCGCCAAGGAGATTGTCACCGGCCACCAAGATCGACTCAACTCTGCTTTCTACCTCGGTTACAACATGATTCTCAACTTGCTACGTATCGAAGCTATCTCACCCGAATTCATGCTCGAGCGATGCTTCCATCAATTCCAGAACGCGGCTAGCGTCCCCTCTTTGGAGAAGGAGTTGATGTCATTACAACAGGAGCGCGACAACACCAGCATCGCCGACGAGTCCACGGTCAAGGACTACTACCAGATTCGACAGCAGCTCAGCGCCTATACTAAGGATATGCGCACTGTTATCCAGCATCCCAACTACAGTATTTCTTACCTGCAGCCAGGTCGCTTGGTGCAGATTTACAACCCCAAGGACGAGAACGAGACCATTGCTGGAACCGGAACCGACTTTGGCTGGGGCGTCATCGTCAACCAGACCCCTCGCCGCGCACCCAAGATGGGCGAACCCGAATATGCCCCTCAGGAATCCTATGTTATTGACGTGCTTCTTCCCATCTCCCGATCAAGCGCGGATTTCTACCCCACTCAGCCCGTCGAAGATACCCCTATGCCCGTTGGCCTCAAACCTTTCGGCGACGATGACGACATCAAGTTTGCGATCGTCCCTTGCCTTCTCACCTGCATCAAGGCTATTAGTCAAATTAGGCTTTTCCTACCCAAGGAAGACCTCAAGTCTGAATCAGAAAAGGAGACGCTCACAAAGTCCCTCATGGAGGTCAAGCGCCGCTTCCCCGATGGTCTGCCTGTTCTGGACCCCATCGAGAACATGGAAATCACCGATGATTCATTCAAGAAGCTTCTTCGCAAGATCGAAGTCCTTGAGTCCCGACTTCTGGCCAACCCTCTTCACCTCTCACCCCTTCTTCCCGCTCTTTGGGACCAGTACCACACCAAGGTCAAGCTTACCGAGAAGGTCAAGGAGACCAAGAAGGCCATCGCCAAAGCGTACAGCATCGCCCAGATGGACGAACTCAAGTCTCGCAAGCGTGTGTTGCGACGTCTCGGCTTTATTAACGATTCCGAAGTCGTCCAGCTTAAGGCTCGCGTTGCCTGTGAGATTTCCTCCACCGAAGGTCACGAGCTGCTTCTCTCCGAATTGCTCTTTGACCGATTCTTCAATGAGCTCACTCCTGAGATGTGTGCTGCTGTCATGAGTTGCTTTATTTTTGACGAAAAGATTGAAACAACCCAGCTCAAGGAGGAATTGTCGAAACCTTATCGTGAGATTCAGGCCAAGGCTCGCATTATTGCAAAGGTCAGCCAGGAATGCAAGCTTGAGGTCAACGAGGAGGAATATGTCCAGAAGCTCAAGTGGCAGCTGATGGAGACGGTCTACGCATGGGCCCAAGGACGTCCTTTCATTGAGATTTGGTACGTCCCCATTTCCTTCTATAATTCTCAGTAAGACACCTGCTAACACTTTTCAGCAAAATGACAAAGGTCTACGAAGGCTCTTTGATCCGTCTCTTCCGTCGTCTGGAAGAGCTACTTCGCCAGATGGGCCAGGCCGCCAAGGTCATGGGCAACGACGATCTAACGAAGAAGTTCGAGGACAGTTTATCCAAGATTCGCAGAGATATTGTGGCCGCGCAGAGCTTGTACCTATAAAACGGGGGAAATATCATGTAATGTGTTTTTTCTATACTTTTCACCGGCTTGGGAGTCTGGCGTGTCGGGTGTGGAAAAAGAGATGTAGTATACCTTGAGCTCGAGGGATTAGGAATAAACCTATGCGAACCTTAGTCAAAGTGATATCTAAACTAATAGAGCTGTTTTGGAGGCTACGAGGAATGCGGTATGAAAGTTTACAGAAATTGCAATGCTTTTTATAATGCATACTTGAGCTTAGGTTGAGTTTGTAAGTGATCTCAGGATCTACAAGAATTCGTACAAGTTTTTTTTTTTTTTTTTTTTTCTTTTTTTAAATGATAAAGGCTTAAGACTATGGTAATAAGACGCGTGGATTGGATCCCTGTGGTATATTCTGTCTGTTTGTCCTGCCTTGAAGAGCAGTCTATAGAATGCCTGTAAAGCCATAACACCATCCATGCTTTGGCATGACCTCAGCGCCCAAAGTTAACGCCTAAAGACTCGATACCCCCAAGCCAAACATGCTACCGCCGTTGAAGCACTGAGCACCATCCGGACTGTTTCAAGGCTCTACTAAGGCCGGTCTCCTGACAGCTCCATGATGAAACCAATAACAAGACTAAAGACAACACCGAAGCCAACGAATATCTGCCATCTCTTACTCCAGATACCTTCTTGGCGCATCAACCATGCTAGACTTCCTAGTGGGAAGAAAAAGCCGACCATCATGGCTTTGAATAGTATTTCCAGCACGGAAGCCATGCCGGAGTTTTCGTCCTCGAGTGGATTAGACCCGGACGGGATTCCTTCGGCGTTGTTGTCGATCCATGCGTCTTCCATGTTGCGCAGGGTGTCAGGTGATGGCATAGCGTCTGGTGTAAAGCGCGATGTATGAATGGATGTAAACTGTGTCCTCAAGGTTGCGATTTCTGAAGGCGAAAAGCCAGACTGTAGCAATCGATCAAACCCCCGTGGTCGCGGCCTTGTTGAAGTCGTAGGTTTCGAACCATCACCAGTCGCTTCCTTCGGTGGCTTAAGCGCCTCCTCCTCTTCCTTCTTCAACT